TTTTTGTGGATAGTAAGTCTACTGCTCAGAGCAAAGGTCTTTCCACACTCCATGCATTTAAATGGATTTTCGCCCGTGTGGATCTTTTTGTGGATAGTAAGTCTACTGCTCAGAGCAAAAGTCTTTCCACATTCCATGCATTTATATGGTTTCTCTCCTGTGTGTATCATTTTGTGTCTTCTGAGTCCAGTGCTCTGAGTAAAGGCCTTTCCACACTCCATGCATTTGAATGGCTTCTCCCCCGTGTGGATCTTCTTATGGGAAATAAGATGACCACTTTGAGAAAACGTCTTCCCACACTCCATGCATGTATACGGCTTCTCCCCTGTGTGGATCTTCTTATGAGTAATAAGATGACCTCTTTGAGCAAAGGTCTTTCCACACTCCATGCATTTATATGGTTTCTTTTGTTGGGGAAGAAAGTCTTGCATCGGTGCATCAGTAGAAGATGAGCTTTCCTGATTCCAATTATTTGACTGGTTTCTTTCATGGCTTTGGAATTCCAGTTGAATTCCAAAATTCTCGATACCATTGTTAGCATTGATCACTTGGAACAGTTCACAGGAATCTTGATTCTCCTGCCTATTATTACCTTCAAAGCAAAAGAAAATGATAACAAGGTCAGAGAAAAAGATCAAAGTGTAGAAAGTCAAGTGAATTTCCTTCTCAGTTTCTCCAAAATTCTATTATGTATTTTGCATGCATACAGTGATTTGATATAGACATGATTTCTATATCCATGAGTCATGAAAGCTTTGAAAATATCTAGAAACATCTCTTTCTTTACAATTATCTATATATATGCAAATCTCACTCAAAGTCAGTTTTGACAGGGAATAATCAGCAGTAACATCCAAGGAGGAATTAAGCCTCCCATTGGATTTTAAATGTTCTTCGCGTTGAGATTGCAAAGGTTGGGAGGCTTCAAGAATGGCTATTTCACTGCCCAAAGTCCCATCAGCTTGCAAGAGCTCTTTGGCTGGATCTGGTACCAGCTTCAGTTTGCAGAGAGACCAGGCCTAAACTACTTTAGTGTGAGATCACACAAGACCAGTAGTGCAAGATCTCAGGCTACTAATCTCGCATGATCTTGTAGTGCAATACTTTCGACCTGTGTTTTTAAGAACCAAGGACTACACGAGATCCAGGGCAAAAGTCTTTGAAAATGAAGAAGCCTACCATCTGTTTGAAAAGCATGATACAACAGTGATTGGTCTCATTCAAGACAACGATGAATCTGCATATAGATGGGAAGTTGTACAACTTGCCTCATGGTGCCATTGGAACAATCTGGAACTGAACACACTCAAAACCATAAAAATGGTGGTAGACTTTAGGAGAAACCCTCCTATACTACCACTTCTTACAATACTAGACAACACAGTATCAACAGTAGAGAACTTCAAGTTTCTATCGTATTTCAAGACCTAACCTAACATCAAAAACGTCATCAGAAAAGCACAAGAATGTTCTTTCTTTGTCAACTCAGAAACCTCAAACTGCCCAAAGAGCTGCTGATACAGTTCTACAGAGGAATTATTGAGTCTGTCATCTGCACCTCTATAACTGTCTGGTTTACTTCTGCAACCAAACAAGACAGACACAATGGATAATTAGAATGGTAGAAAAAACAATTGCTACCAATCTGCTTTCCATTGAGGACCTGTATACTGCAAGAGTCAAAAAGAGGGCTGTGAAAATATCTAGACCCGTCACATCCTGGACATAAATTGTTTTAACTTCTACCCTCAAAACGATGCTATAGGGCATTGTACACCAGAACAACCTGATACAAGGACAGTTTTTCCCTGAATGCCAACACTCTGCTAAAAAACTAACTCCCACAACACTGTCAAACTATTTACTAAGACTGTATTACTATTATTCTTCTCATACTTCCTATTACCTATCTCTGCCCACTTATGACAATAACCTTGTTGCTTGTATCTCTTTGATTTGGCCAATAAAGAATTCAATTCAATTCAAGACCTTGGTTAGCAGAGAACAGAGGCCTAAAGTACTATAGTGCAAGATCATGTGAGATTAGTAGTGCGAGATTTCCCATTACTGATCTCACGTATCTCTCATTACTTTATGCCTCTTTTTTCTGCAAATGCACCAAAGCAGGCAAAGGAACAGATTTAGTTTACTTTAACTGTCATTGCACCTCGTACAACAAAATCAAATACCATCTTCAGTCACATCATGACCATGAAAATAAACACCAAGACACATCCTTCACACTCCACACATTGAACCGAAAACGCCAGACACTGCACCAATACTGCACTATATGGTAGAATTCAAAAGAACTACTGCCCTGGGATAGAAACTGTTTTGCAGCCTATTTGTCCTTGTTTATAATATTCTGTACCATCTGCCAGATGGTAATAGTCCAAAAAGGGGTTCACAGAATGAGATGGATCTTTGAGAATGTTTTGAACTTTCTTAAGACAGTGGGAGCTATAAAGCTCTTCCAAAGAGGGGAGATGGCAACCAGTGATCTTCTGGGCAATGATGTTAACCCTCTGGAGTGCTTTCCTATCTGCCACTGTGCAATTGGCAAACCATACAGAGGTGCAATAAGTTAATATACTCTCTATGGTGCAGAGATAGAAGGTCACCAGCAGTTTTTCATTCAATAGTTGTTTTCTGAGAAGTCTCAGGTAGTATAACCTCTGCTGGGCCCTTTTGACCAGTGCTGCAATGTGAGCACCTCAGTTCACCCTCAGAAACTTAAATCTGGCCACTTGCTCCACTCGGTCTCCATTGATAAGCAAGGGCTGGATGTCTGATCTCTTCCTTCTATAGTCCACTATAAGCTCCTTAGTCTTATTGGTGTTGAGGACCAAGTTATTGTCTCCATACCATGAAACAACCGGTCCACCTCATCTTAATAGGCAGACTCATCCCCCCTCCACCCCCTGGAGATGAGTCCCACCATGGTTGAATCATCTGCAAATTTAGTAATGGTATTACTAGTGGGAATGCAGTCATGCACATAAAGAGTATAGAGTAAGGGACTCAACACACAACCCTGTGGTGTAGAGATGACTCACTAAATCACCGCAATGCAACGCAAGACCTGTGGGGTGAGGTGGGTGGGGTGAATGTTGTTGCAGCACCTCTGTTGTCATTCATAAGTGTGAATGATGGCCGTGGTGCTGCAACATTTGTAATTTCAGGATTGAGTCTTAAGAACTTGGGAGTGGGCTAGATCATAACTGGGAATTTAGTGAACTGTCATAACTCGGGGATTACCTGTACCCCAGGATGCTCTGAGTCACACTGCATGAGACCTTTGTTCTTGAATTCAATTGGGAGAATATTCTTCAATGACCTGAGTGTGAAAGTTCTGTTCTCATACAATTTGGGGAGGTTTCAGAGGACAAATGATAACACATTCTTCTCACATGACCTCCACCCAAAAGCAACCTTATCCTTCTCAGCCTCCACAGATAAGTTCAAATAGAAATGGAACAATACAGATAAGAAATGGCCCAAAACCATCTAAGCAAAGAGACATTGACTCTTTCCTTCCTTGGAGTACCAGAAGGCCAGACACTTTCCTTTTCCCTTTGAGTAGACGATATCTGATTAGTGATTTTTTTTAATAAAAAGTAACTACAGTCTTCTTGAACCTCTATAAGATTAGGGACTAGAAAACTCTTACCCAGAGAGACCACATTCCTATAGTTTTCAAGCATGACTTCTGAATGCAGCGCTTTTTGGTCAGAATCCAGCTGAGACCATTCCTCCTCTGAGAAATACACAGCCACCTCCTTGAAGGACACAAGACTCTCCTGAACACGGAAAAAAAGAACAGAACAAGATGATTCACAAGATGCTTTCATCTTCATCATTCATTTAGACAAGAGGATAAAAGGGGAACTCATCAAATTTGCAGACAAGACCAAATTGATAGGAATATCAACACTCCAGAAGATAAGCTTGAGATAGAGAAGGATCCACAGATTGGGCCCCATTTAAGAAAATGAAAAACAATGTTGAAAAATGTAAGGTTCTACATTTAGGAAAGAAAAACCAAATGCACAGGAATTGAATAAGTGATACCTAGCTCAACAGTAAAAAGTACAATAGGTATCTTGGGATCCAAGTGGACAATCACTGATACCCCCCCCTCCAAAAAAAAACCCCAAAGAATCATAGTCTGCATTAAGAGAGATAGAATCAAGATCAC